CTTTCGTTGATGAAACGTGGTTCCCATCCACATGCCTCCCGGTCTTATTCCTTCGGGTTTACACTGGATATGGGGTGTGTGGTTGGAGCTGTGGGTGGTGCAGCGCAAGCCATCCATGGTCCCTCTGTAGGCGCAGGCGTCCTGTGGCTTGCCACAGTGACAGGCAAATCCGAAACCGGTTGCCGCCAACCAGATATATATATATATATATATATATATATATATATGGGACATATTGACATGGTTACTTAACTACCCTTTGTGTCGTTAGCTATTTACTTTAGGCCCTGAAGCTTGCATTAATTTCCTTTGATGCACTTTTCCTACCATCTGCAGCCACTTTTAGTCATCGATCTTGACCTTTCAAACACCTTAGAAATCAATCCCAGCGCGATTTGACGCTTACCCCACATAATCCGTGTCATGTAAAAGTTTGGGTCTGACGAGATTTTACCGAAAAGATATCTTAACCCTGAACTGTTTTCTGGTCTTGATTCATCTGATTACCATGGGAATATTTGCTGTGTTGAAAATCAGCATTGCCCGTGATTCGTTGAAGATTGACACGTCTCACCTATTGTAATGGTGGACTTTTCCAGTTGCTTTTGGAATAGCTTGAGTCATTTTTTATAACGACAGCCGTACTGGTCGACATGACGAGCGAATATTTTATATAGTGGAGTGGAGTAAGATTGCTTTTTTTGCGTCGATGCCAAAGTGAGGTGAGCTGGAGGTAAGGACATCGTTTCTCATAGATAATTGTTGATAAGCGTCCGAAGAAGATTTCGTTAAAGGAGCGATGGACTTGTTCTAAAGCAATTCTCCATCTTTTGCCGAAATGCCTGTGTATGATGGTGCAATACTTTAGATTGGGTCGCACAATCAGTTTGAATGATTCAAGTCATGTTTGGAATAGTGAAAATGACCAAGTGATGTAGTTTGTTAATTGCTTCGCTTTTGCCACTTCATGTAAGTTGTTTTCGATGAACTTGAAGGTGCTGGAGTATCGAATTCCTAGCTCTCGGACGGAATCCGCAGTTTGTATGGGGGGTACCAGTAAGAGTGATAGATCCTTCTCGTGTACTGCATTTGTGGCAGAGTATCTGAGATTTATCTACCGGAAACCTCTTTGACCGGTTTTTCTCTATTGGTTTAGATCTTCGCGTATATTTTCCAGATATTTTTCCAGGTGATCAGGTAGGATTGAGTACACTATTTTGATGTCATCCGCAAAAGAAAGTAGACGCCCGTGTCTATTGTTATCACATATATCGTTTGTTGCTGTTTGCTGACAACTGTGCGTTGTTTGCCCACCGCTTGGATGAGTTGCAGCACAAGACTGGTGCTCTGGCTTCAACAGCCGCCAAATTCGGGCTCACCTTGAACACAAGGAAAACTGTCTGTCTTTTTCAGCCATCACCGGAGGTGCAATCTTCAATATTGCGGCAAATCAACATTAGGATGAAGTATTGGAGATCAACCACCTTCCGCTTCTGCTATCTTGAAGTGTGATATCGACTGACCAGCAGCTACACGGTGCGTTTCGCATCCATGTTAGATCATCGGGCATGTGGTTGCTGGCGTTGTCCATGATCACCTTTGCACCTTTCAACTCCACTCTGCAGCGTTTGCGCTGTACAAATTCCTCGACGTGGATCGAGAGTTTTGCGCCATTGCTTGTACCATCGATGATGATGTTTGTGCGAACGATGCATTGTTTATTGATTGCCAAAAGGAGCGTCACCATTCGGTCTCTGGCTGTAGGCAAGACGACGTTTGCGCTTGTCCCTCTTCTTGAGTAAGCCTGTGTCCGTCTCCATATGGTGATTGTACCCCCTCTCATCTATGAAGATGTATGATTATTTGTCATGCGGTGCATGTACCGAGGAGTCATGAGCGTAAGCTTTCCGGCTTGCGAGGGTCGTGGCACTATTGACCCGGTCTAACTCGTGTCGCTTCTTAAGCATTATCCTTGACCCCATGCGAGCTTTGATAACAGTAGTTAAGGATAGGTAAATCCTGGTCTCGCTCCGCCGCTGCTGTAGCTGCACCATAATGTTTTCAGAATGTCGTTCAGCGGTTTCTTCAACGCGCTGCAGATCATCGGGAGTCAGCTTCTCTTTGTTGTTTCCTCCACATCTGCACTGGCTTTTCATGCTTTTTTTCTGTAGGAAAGGATGATTTTTCTTGCCGTGTTGTCTTTCATATCGGCAACGTCAGCAGCTTCGTGGATGGTTTTGCTGTCGATGAACCCACGCTTAGTGAGGATCTCTCTAATGTTCACTTGTACCTCTTTGCTCTCGAAGATGCGTTCTCTCGTCGTTTGTTTTGGTCGTTTCGTGCATCACAAGACTACTAAAGCTATGCTGTGTTTGGTGGAATCATGATAGCCCGCATTAATTCAATAATCGGGCGGCTGGATAAGTCGGCCCACACACCCACAGGAAGTACGCGAATGGCCATAGAGTGACGGGGCAAATTGTGTCACCCGCTCCGATGGAGGTGAACGACGCCAATAATCAAGAGAAAGGCTTACAACGCTGCTTGCACGGTCCCATTGCATTCTCATGATCAGTCGCCTTACTCCCCTGTCTTGATAACAAAACTGCAACTCTAAGCCAGCAAAATTAGACTGGTTTTGGTGGATTCGTCATAACCTACACTGTTCTTTTATTCGAACAGCTGAATAGGTTCGCCCACACACCCACATAAGATACGCGTGGGGCCATAGAGCGACAGGGGACCACTTGGTCACCGGTTCTGATCGAGACAACTGACGTCCATGCTAAAGGGGAGGGATTGCACAATCGATCACTGCTTATGCAGTTACGTTGTATTCGCGTACGCTCAATGTAGCCGGAATATCGTATAGTCCCTTACTCCCCTGACTTTGATAGCTAGTTACAGCCGTAAACCAATGCAACTAGACTGGTTTAGGTGGATTCATATTAGCCAACGGTGTTCCAGTGATTGCACTACATAGGTTCACCCACACATGCACAGGAAATACGCGAAAGCACATAGTGCGACACGGGATAACTGGGTCGCAGCCTTTGCTGGAGGTGAACAACACCAATGATCAAGATGAGGGCTTGCACAATCGCACACTGCTTGCACAGTGCCGTTGCATTCACGCGAGCACCATGTGGTCTGAACATCGTTCAGTCGTTTTAATCACCTTCCTTTTATAGCGACTTACTTCAATAGGCTAATAAATTTGTGCTGTGTTTAATGGAGTCATGCTAGCCTTCACGGATCCAATAGTCCAGCAGCTGAATAGGTTGGTTCACACAAAATACGCGAAGGCCCATAGAGTGACAAATGACAACTGGATTGTTGCCTATCTGCTTCATCAGTTACGGTCCAAGTGGTCAAATTGTGGGAATCGCGGCCCACATTGTGATGACGCATCGTGATCCATTCTCAGGACCAGTGCTTCCCAACAACTCCCCAATGCCAGATAACATTTGTTTAAGCCATGCTAGAGAAGGCGATTTAGGAGTCTGACTTTCCAATAGTCACATAGCTACCCAGGTCCATGTTAGAAGTCAGAGGCACTTAAAATGCCAGAAGACAGATGGAGAGAGGCGATCGAGGTTCACGATGAAGAGAAGTTTTTGTAGTTGCACACGGTGGTTACACAATGATGTTGCATTAGCATGACTACAATTTAGTCTGAACATCGTCCAGTCTCATTACTCCTCATTTCTTGCAAGCGATTTGCTGATACTCTGCTTAAAATCCAATGTATCCAAAGTGGTTTGCAAAAAGTCCATTTTGTTTTTCAAACCGTCCAAATTAGTTTGCAAAACCTACAACTTAACAAGAATATATATATATATACATACATATATATACATATATATATATATATATATATATATATGTAGCATGAAACTCAGAGTACCTACACCTTGCGTACAAGGCAGCCACATACTGCAGACTATCGTGCGAAGATAAACCGGTGTGTTCGACACTGCCGTCTTACGGCTTTCGCTGCCTGCGTCATAGTCAGCTATAGCCCTGTATTTAACCCAACATCATGCACAGTATCGTGTGGAAGCAGTTGCAAAGTAAATCTTATGGACTCCAGTTCGAAAGGCTCGTTGGATAAATAACAACCAGTTTGATCGTCATTGACTTCATTTCCCGCTGCTAAGTTGACTTTTACCCACATCGTGCCTTGTACCATCCTTCATCCAACAAACCAAACAGGGCCCTTCAGGGTAGACGGTGATTGCTCATACATAGCAAGCAACATTGGTCTAAAACTTGAAAGCGCCTCTGACCAAAGGGACTAAGTGTTACGCCCATAGAGTGGGACGACCTTCACTTCAACTTTGCACTCACGGGCTTTCAAACCGAGGCAGCACTCTTCTGATGTTACAAGTGTCGCAGATTCAAGGAAGCGGTCTGAGCTTTCGAAGTACGTGAAATGCTTTCAGCAGTCATGCACCAATCCGTACTGACGCAGCTGTGACGTTAGTCGGTCAATCAAAAAATTTCGGTTCTTCGCTACCATAGGTCAAGCAGCGACTAAGCGGCACTTGGTCTTGCGACACAGCACTATTC